ACCTTCACCATCACCATCACCATCATCAGCAGCAGCAGCGTCGTCATCGTCATCATCACCATCAGCATCATCATCATCATCATCATCATCATCATCATCATCATCACAAGCAGCATCATCAGCATCATCATCCCTCCATCCTCCCAGGGGGGGTAACAACCGTTTCCCTCCGTGGATGCTTGTGCTGTCGTTTACACTCTTGTATGATTGGACAGCCCCTTGACTTACGTGTGTGGACCTCTCGGGGCCTCCCAAGCCTCCAGCGGCGCCTCCTGGCATCCCTAGACGCCTCCAGAGATCAGTGGAGGCCCCCCAAGATCCATCCCAGGAGTCACCACGAGACCTCCTTCTCCTCCTTCTGCCCCCATCCTCACCCTTCACAATTTGCTAGCCCTTACATATTCCTCGTCCTCCATATTCCCCCCGCATGCTCCCGCAGCCTCCTCCTCCTCCTTTTCCTTTCTCTTCCGCATCATCCGTCCCTCCCTCCCTCCCTCCACCTCCCCTTCCCCCTCCCCCTCCTCCTCCTCCTCCTCCTGGTCTTCCCCCACGTCATCCCCTGCCTCAGATTCCTCCTCTTCCTCATCCTTCCTCCTCCTCCTCGCTCCCCCTCCCTCCCCAAAGCGCTCCAGAGACCTCTGGAAACTTCTGGACGCCTCGTAATCCTTGCCTCCCTCTCTCCCTGGTTTCTCCTCCCCCACCTACACCTAAACCGTCGATTTCGCCCACGTGACGATTCAAATCGCACGCAGAACCCTAGTATCCCCCAGCTCGTCCGATGGCTTCGACAGCGCACCGCGTCTCGCGCAGGCGAGCGATGAGTTCGGATTATAAATGTTCTGATCTGTCTCCTCAACTTCATACTATGTATTCACCCCGTCTCCCTTTTCGAACCCACTGAACGACGAGGATGAGAAGAGGGGGAGGCAGAGGGGGAAGGAGGAATCCACCTCGCGCTTCTCGCACACTTCAAGTACTCCTTCTCAGATTGAATCAAGCCTGGATCTGCTCGTATGCAAGATAACTCTCACATTGGCGGACTCCTGCTGGTCGTCCTTCCACTGGCCGTCGTATTTCGAGCCGTCTACGTGGTAGTAGACCTCCACAACGTACCGCACTGACACAGGCGCTGGTGGAAGGGAGCAGCGACAGCAGCAGGAGGAAAAAAAAACGCACGTCCCCCTGCACCTCCGCATCCTCCCCTCCACGAGCACAAGTCGGCGAGAGCAACGCTTCTACGGCGAGGCGAACAGAGGAGGGGGAGAAGACCGGCATGATGCTCATGCACCGCTGCTCCACTTGATGGAGCCCGCCCCAGAATCCGTCCCCGAGCCCTCCCGGATGGCTACAGTCCCGAGAGGCTGCCCGAAGCGCGCGCTGGCCCTGCAGCGCGAGGAGGGGGCGCACCCGGGGCCGAGGACGTCCCGACCCGGGCGCGCGCGGCGGGCTCCTGCTGGGACTCGGGGCGGAACGCTGGGCGGGAGGAGCTGGGCCGGAAGCCAGCCCGAGGTGGCCGCAGGATGCCTCCGGGACGGCCGAAGGTGCACCCCAGACGGCGCAAGATGGCCGAGGTGGCCCAAGGCGGCCCAAGAGGCACCCAAGAGGCCTCCAAGGCGGCCCAGGGGGCCTGTAAGAGGTCCTCCGGGAGGGCCCGGAAAGACCACAGGCAATAATTGTTCCTCGAGTATTGAAAAAAGTCGTGACATCTGCTTCTTTTCGGGCCTCCGACGGCCCAGGACGGCCGTGCGTCGCCCAAGTCGCCTCCCAGATGGCCCCATGACCCATGACGGCCCAAGAGGCCCCCAAGACGGCCCCAAGAGGGCTCCAAGACGGCCCCAAGAGGCCTCCGAGACGCCCACGTGGTGCTGCCCGATCGCGCAAGACCGAAGAGCGCGCGAGGTCGCCGGGCTGGGGCCGCGTCACCTACAGGACCCGCGCTGGCACACTCGAGGGCGGTCGCGCAAGCCAGCGCCCACGGCCGCCCTGCCCTCCTCCAACCCCGCGTCCCTCCCTGCCATCATCCTCCCTCCGGCACGGACTCGGTTCGCCAGAGTTTCGGTTCGCTGGGGCTCGGTTCGCGCGAGCCCGAACAGGCGAGTCGGGTCGGGCGGGGTCGGGCGGGCGGACCCTGACGGGCAGGTCGGGTAGGGCGGGCGAAGCTGGGCGAATCGAGACCCGGCCGAGTCGAGTCAGGCGATTCAAGCCCTGGGCGAATCGAGCCCGGCGAATCAAGCCTACGCCCTCCCTACTCCCTCGACCTCCCTCCTCCCTCCCCTCCCTTACCTCCTCCGTCATGTCCCCTCCTCCCTCACTTCCTCACTCCATCATCCCACACTCCCCCTTTCTCCTCCCTCCGCCTCCTCCATCCCCCCCATCCTGCCCCTCCCCTCTTCCTCCCTCCCATCCCTCCTCCCTCATCCCTCCTCCCTCCTCCCTCGTCCCCTCCTCCTCCTCATCTTCGTCCTCCCTCCCCCTCCCTCCCTCCCTCCCCCCTCCCTCCCTCCCTCCCTCCTCTCCTCCTCCTCCCCTCCTCCTCCTCCTCCTCCTCCTCCTCCTCCTCCTCCTCCTCCTCCTCCTCCTCCTCCTCATCATCATCATCATCATCATCATCATCATCATCATCATCATCATCATCATCATCATCATCATCATCATCATCATCATCATCCTCATCCTGCACCTCATCATCATCAAGCCTCGAGCTGACGGCAGACTCGTCCTGCACATGGGAGCGATGCTGTGGTCATTCTCCTCGTCCTCCTCGTGCCCCAATGTGTGCGACACTGGCCTGGCAGACAACGAATTGACTCTTCCTTCGTGGATATTCAGCCGAGAGAGCGAAATCCTCCTACTCATCAATCCACTCCCCATCCACTCCCAACTCCATATCCGCACTCCACCTCCTCGTCCTCCTCCTCCTACTCCTCCTCCAACTAAACCTCATCATCATAAGCAGCAAGCAGCATCATCAACAACACCGTCAACATCATCATCAGCATCAGCATCAGCATCATCATCATCATCATCAACACCACCACCACCACCATCATCATCAGCAGCAGAAACACACTAATTAGCATTATCATTATCATCATCATCATCATCATCATCATCATCATCATCATCATCATCATCATCATCATCATCATCATCATCATCATCATCATCATCATCATCCTCAGCATATTCATCATCATCACCATCACCATCATCCTCATCATCATCATCAGCAGCATCATCATCAGCATCATCATCAGCAGCATCATCACCATCATCATCAGCATCATCATCATCATCGTCGTCGTCATCATCTTCGTCGTCACCATCATCATCATCCTGATCATCATTACCAGCATTATCACCATCATCGTCAGCATCATCATCAGCAGCATCATCATCATCGTCATCATCATCACCATCATCATCATCATCATCAATACCACCACCACCGAAACCACCACCACCACCATCATCATCAACATCATGATCACCATCACCATCAGCATCATCACCACCAACACAACCATCACCACCATCATCATCAACATCATCAGTATCATCATATCTACCATCGGCATCATCATCATCAGCAGCATCATCAGAATCACCATCATCATCATCATCATCAATATCACCACCACCGACAACACAACCAACATAATCATCACCACCACCACCACCATCATCATCATCATCAGCAGCAGTAGCACCACCACCACCATCACCATTAATATCATCATAATCAGCATCATCAGCATCAGCATCAGCATCATCATCATGAACACCACCACCACCAGCAACCACCACCACCAGCACCACCATCATTTCCATCATCCTCACCATCAAAATCGTCGCCATCAAAATCAGCATCATCCTCACCATCAGCAGCATCATCATTGGCATCATCGTCATCAGTATTATCATCATCATCATCATCATCACCACCATCATCATCATCATCATCATCATCATCAGCATCATCATCATCATCATCATCATCATCATCATCATCATCATCATCATCATCATCATCATCATCATCATCATCATCATCATCATCCGCATCAGCATCAGCATCATCATCATCACCACCATCATCATCATCATCATCATAACCAGCATCATCATCATCATCATCGTCGTCAGCATTGTCCACGTCATCATCATCATCATCAGCAGCAGCAGCAGCATCACCACCACCACAACGATCATCATCGTCGTCGTCGGCGGCGGCATTCCCATTATCATCATCAACAGCAGCACCATCATCATCTTCAGATTCATCATCATCAGCATCAAAATCAGCATCATCATCACAATTAACAGTATCACAAGCATCATCAACATTATTACCAGCATCATCACCATCATCGTCATTATCATCATCACCATCATCATCAACAACAGTACCACCACGACCGACACCACCACCACCATCAGCATCAATATCATGATCACCATAACCATCATCAGCATACTCAACAGCATCAGCAGCATCAGCATCATCATCGTCATCATCGTCATCATCAGCATCATTATCATCCTCATCATGCTAATCCTCAACCTCATCCACATCATGTTCGTCGATATGTTCACAATATCATCATAATCATAATCAGTATCATAGCCATCATCATCGTCATTATCATCGTCATCATCAGCCGCAGCATACACAACACAATTATCGTCGTCATCACCGTCATTATCAACATCATCATCGCCATCACCATCATCAACAACAGCATCCTCATCATCAGCAGCAGCAGCATCGTCATCACAATAACCATCAGCATCACTATCGTCATCAATTTCATCATCATCATCCTACAACCCCATCCCATCCCATCCCAACACATCCATCCCTCCCCTTCCTCAGCTCACTCCCTCCCGCCCTCCATCAATGACTCCTGCTCCTTCTCCTCCTTCTCCTCCTCCTCCTCCCTATCCTTCCCCCTCCTCCTCCTCTTCCTCCTCCTCCTCGTCGTCCTCCTCCTCCTCCT